TCCAGGCACCTGGATACAAACTGTGGGTGCCACACTGCAGAAGTGGGGGTTCAGGAATTCCACATGTTCTCCCAGGCAAGCTCCAGTTTCATCCTGGACTGTTACAGCCATGTTTGTGCCTTTGAGGAGCTGCAACACCTGCTCGAGACTTTGAATCCAGGGCTTGGATCCCTGGGTTTGAAATCCCCCGTGTGCTCAGAGTGTTACTGACAGAGGCTGGCAAACCTCTCCCAGCAGGATCTGATGGCCAAATGGGATCAGGCACTTGAATCTGAAAGCCCAGATCCTGCTTCAGGTCTGTCTTGCTGTTTGTGCTCTCAGTTCCCTTCTTTCACTTTGACGTTTCTTTTTCCACAGTCTTTGAGGGGTTTTTTGAAGTGGTTTTGCACGTATCAGGCTGGTGTCTTACTTTGTTGTAAATCATCACGTAAAACTTCACTTGTGACTCCAGAAGTCAGTAATTTCAGTCAACAACCAGTTTCAATTTGCTTTTATCACCCAATTCTGTTTAAAAATCAAGAAAAAGCCATTTTAGTTCTGGAACCAGAGTGAAAATCACATTATCATGGGTTTATTACAATTTTTTAATCCCAGGGATGAGAAATGCCAGATCTGTAAGAGAGGGCTGGATGACCTGTTCTTGGAGCAAACACTGAGGGGATTATTTCCAGTTTCTAGATCCAGTTTTCATCCAAAGGCAGCAGCAGATCGGTGTTACACCTTCCACCTTTTGACCAAGGGAACACAGCTTGCAGGAGTGATGTTTGCTGGATGGTGAGGGACACTTTGCCTCTCAATTATTTTTAAGTGTCATAATGCTTTATCTCTTTTATCAATATCCCTTTATCTCCCTAAACTGTATCTTGTTATGCCTCTAAATGATTCACTGCTCACTAGGGTTTGATATCCTGTGTGAATTGCCCAGCAGTTTGCCCACTTGGGTGAGAAGGTTCTACCATCTCTAGGCACATCTGGTGCTCATATGCTCCCCCTGACATAGCTTCTGTAACATCCCAGGAGCTTTTCTGCCCATTTTCAATCACCTCTCCTTTCCCACCCAGCATTTTGAGGGGACCACTGTCTCCTTCAGATCCGGAAAGGATCAGTTTGTTCATCACAGCCCCTCTGCAGCCCAGGCAGACAAGAGGGAGCAGAAGCCACGGGAAGCTGCCCAGCCCTGCCCTGAGGGACAGAGGGACCAGCAGTGCAAATGGTCAGTGGCTGATCACTGGAATTCCCTTCTCACCCTGGGGCTGGAAAGGGGAATGTCACTGTCCCTGGCAGCCTGACCCCTCCTCACTGGCATCTCCGGCTCTGTTTCCCTCCTCATGTCTCAATTCCTGAGCTCCAGGATGAGGGAGCTGCTTTCATGGAGTAGAATCATGGAGTCATTTAGGTTGGAGAAAACCTCCAAGGTCACAAGTCCAACCTGTGACCGATCCCCACCTTACCAAGCAGACCAGAGCACTGAGTGCCACATCCAGTTGTTCTCTGGACACGTCCAGGGATGAGGACTCCACCACCTCCCTGGACAGCCCCTTCCAATGCCTGTCCACCCTGCCCATGAAGAAATTCTTGCTGATGTCCAACTGTTCTGTGCAAGGCAGATGCCAATTTGATAAATCTTTTATTTTTCCCAAAAAAAAGACCTGGAGAGCCAGGCCATCACCTAGGACATGACGTGGGCACAAAGCAGGTGAATTCCCAGTGACACTGGGTGTGCCCCTCTCTGCTGTGGCTGACCACCACGGGTGCTGTGCATCCCCATCAGAGCCTGGCCCTGCACAGATTGCTTCCTCCCTCGGGAGGATAAGGATCTGTTAATAACCTGGTGGTGAGATCACAATCACGAGATGTTTCTCAGGGCATCCCCGACACCCGCTCAAAGAACTCTCCTGGGTGAAGAATCCCAGCTTGGTGCCACTCTTAAGGTCAGGAATTTACTCACGATTTCACTTCTGCTATTTTATATTTGCCTGAGGAACAACAACGTCAACAGCCCCTGGAGCGACCCTGCTGACTTCCACCACAAACCCCCCTGGATGTCCCCAGACGTCAGAGGAGGGGTCTGGGCAGGAGCAGGGCTGGAGCTGGGAGATCCCAGGCACCTCAAGTTGGCACTGCCAGGCAGAGGAACAGCAGGACAGACGTGAGGGTCCCTCCTTGACGTCAGTGCAAGGATGTGACTGGGAAGTACAGCTGGGAAAGGCTCACCCTGAACTCACCAACACTTCTGTCTGGGCACCCCTGGCTTCCTCCAGCCACGGGGACAAACCTTCCCATGGCTCATGTCAGCCAAGGGGCAGAACAGAGGAATGGAGTCAGAGTTTCCATCTCAAATCACCTAAAGCAAAACTGATGGAAAATACCAAAAAGTTTGGAATCCAGGATGCAAGAACATTCTGTGTTGTGCTTCTCTCAGACCAAATTCCACCTCCTTAGGCACAGCCCTGAGTTCTGATTTCCAAGGTCTCCCAGCCTGCACGTGCCACCTTGGAACCCGCTCCTGGAGCTCTGGGATCTTGCCCACCTCAGGATGTCTGTGAGACTGTGTTGGGACAAACCACAGGAATTCCAATTTTACACACAGGCCAGGGATGTGAAACACAGAGCTAAACTTCCTTGTGATGTTCCATTGCTGAGCAAGTTGCAATTTAATGTCAGGACAATTCAGGATTACACAGTTCAATTCAGTTCAACTCAATATTTCAATTGAAATTGGAACCAATGAGAACTGAACCAAAATCTCTCTGAGTAATTTCCTGTGGAATTTATCAGGAACTGCATTTTTGTTGAGAAGTTTATGGATGAAAGCTGCCACCCAGCTCTGCTGCAGCCTGGGCAGCAGGTTTAAATCACTGACTTCCACTCTCCTGGGTGCTGGAGGGGAGCAGAAGCACCCAGAGACTGGAATGCCTGGTAATTTGATTCTTTATATATATTTAATTAACTTTGGAATAACAAATAGGTTCTAGTAGCAATGGCTTTCATGGGCACAGCTCAGGCCTGGCAGTGTCTGGGTTTGTCTGTCTGCTCACACAGGATCACAGTTCTGTGAAAAGCAGCTCAGGGGGCACCCAGGTTCAGGCAACGTTTCAGAGATGGAATCACTCAGGCATGGACTGCAAATATACACAATCAAATTAAGAAAAGATTTAATAAATGTTCTGAGAAATCCCTGGGTACAAAATGTGACAATACAAGAAGTTCAGTGTCATACACAGATATATGTCATATATATGTTCAGTGTCATACATAGACAGCAAACTGATCCAAATATTTTAAATATTCCCATTCTAAATATTCCCATTCTAAATATTCCCATTTTAAATATTCCCATTTTAAACATTCCTGTTCTTTTTAAGAAAACCAGTTTGCTTGACTGGGCTCTAACAACACAGAATTTGGCAGGTACCAAAACTTTGAAGCTGAATCTTGGGACCATGAGCAGAAAACAAGCTGCAAACCACCTGCCTGCCTCCCCTGTCTCGCCTTTGGCTTCAGCCAGCGTGGACATGGGGATGGATCCACCAGAACAGTGCCTGGTGCCTCTCCCTGGGGCAGGGTGAGCACAGAGCACCCCGAGGGGCCCGTGCCCTCTCTGCACACCCACAGCTCCCCAGGTGTGACCCTGTGTGAAGCCTCCACAGAGCTGTCACACCCCTTGATTCCGGGTATTCTGCCGGTACCCAAGGGAAGTCTTTCATCTCCAGTCCTCCTTGACGGAAGTGGTTACAAGATAAAGCTCCTGAGGCAGCGTACCTGCCTGGATTCCTGATGAGCAGAGGCAAACAGGGCAATAAATAGCTGCAGAGATGTGAACGGCACCTGCTGACTGAGATAAGAGCCAGGCGAGGCGCGGGGGAGTCGGTGCCGCGCACTCACAGAGCAGCAAGGAGAGTGGGGTCACATTGTGTGAGAAGAGGAAAACCATCACAGTCCTCCTGCCCCACCAAAAACCCAAAATCCTGACCCTGAGTACCCCAGCACCCTGTTCCCTGAGCACCCCAGAATGGGCTCAGAACCACACCAGCACTGGTCCACTGAGAGGATTTTGAGTTGGGCTGGGACCACATTGAAGGAGGGTCTGAAACTGGATCTGAGTCTTCATAAAGGACCTAAGACCTTATGACCTAGGATCTAAATCCACAGGAGCCTCAAAACTACCCTCAGCTTCAGGTATATTTCATTTGGGCTGGGATTCCATCCTGTGATGCCCTATTTTTCCACCTGGCTGCAGTAACAGCACTGACATAGCACAAAAAGACAGAAAGGACAAGATGCCAAAGGCATCACTTCCAGGTGAGCCTGGCTTAGGAGAACAGCGAGTTTGTGAGGAGCTGGAGATGTTTCTGTCTGAGAAACAACCCCTCTATCTGAGGGGTCTGCTCCAAGAGCAGAGCCCTCTTTGACAGCCATCAAACACTGGTTTGCCTTGGGGGAAGGCGTGACACTGAGAAAGTTCAGAGCCTTTTGGGGAAGACAAAAATACCCAGAAAGAGAATGGGGGAAGTCACTGAGCTGCTGGCAGTGTAGCAAGGGAGAAGGACAAAGTGTTATTGTCATGGGCGGTCCTGTGCACTGAGAGTTTTCATCCTGAACCCCCTTCCCAAAACAGCTCTGGGGAATGGGATGGGATCCTCTCTGTTTCCCCAGCACTGAGGGCTGTATAGATGAAGCAGGATTTGCTGGAGGGGAAGGTAAGAAAGAGCCTCTTTCCCCTGTTTCCTTCACCACAGACCATTCCTCATGTGTCAGTCCAAAAGCAGAGCTCACTTCTCTTCCCCGAGCGTCAGCAGCAGCTCTGGGTGTGCGGAACACGCCGAGGCAGCACCTGAGCACCCCGAGAGCTCAGCACAGCTCTGAGCACGAGGAGGAGGAGGAGGAGCAGGGTCTACTAAATGTCAGTGACATCAGGGTGCCCGTGACCTCCTCAGAGGGGCGCAGGAGGTATAAAAGCAGAGCTGCCCGAGGAGGGTCCTGCAGGAGAGGAGGCGGCGCTGGGGCTGGGGATGCTCTCGCTACCTCTGTGACTGGAGCGTGCTGGAACCACACCATGGATGGGGGTGAGTACCTGGGCTGCAGCCTCGGGCTTTATTAATAATTAATAAATAATTAATTAATAATTAATTAATTAATAATTAATACACAATTAATACATAATTAATACCTAATTCATAATCTTCCGCTTTATTAATAATTCCCGGTCCCTGCCCTGTGACACAGGAGTGGAGCACTTCTATCGTAGTATTTAAACAGTGTAAAAGATTTTCATCTTCCTCATTTTTACTATTTAAGAAAAAAAAAAAATTAAAAAAAAAGCACAGTTCTCTTTTAGAGGCTCAAAAAGCTCAAATCACTTCAGAAACAAACACAAAAAAAGAGGATGGGAGGCAATTTTAAGGGGGCCTTTTGTTCCAAAGCAAATGGAATCTTGCATAATTCACACCTTTTCTTCTGTGTTCTTAATTTAAAAAATAAAACTTAAAAAAAGAGAGAGAGAGAACACTTTCCCTGGCAACATTTTAATTCAGTGAATCAATCAAGGAATTGGGAGCAAGAAGAGCTGAGTTTGTTCACTGAGTCCATCCAGTCTTTTGCAAATTATTTCTATTAAAAAATATCTGCAGGAACACTGGGGGAAGCAGGATGCATTGGAGATGCAGGATGCTCAGGGGGATGGATGCAGGAAGTTCTGGGGAATAAAGGAAGCTCTGAGGATGTTCCAGGGATGCAGGAAGCCCTGGGGGATGCAGGGAAAAAGGGGGGAAGATCCCACAGGACCCTTCAGACAGGAGCAGGGAATGGGCCAAGGGAGTTTTCCTTCTCCTGGATGTCTTCTCAGAGCCTCTGGCAATCAATGGCTCAGGAAATTCCTGGATTTTGGAATTCCTGCATCCAAACAAATACCCAGCTGGACCTGCCCACCACACATCATTCTTCTCATTTAAACTTCTGGCCTCTGCATCATCCTGTGGGCACTTTGTGGGCTGTTTGTTCCAAGGGGTTCAGTGTACAAGGACAGCTGAACTTAGCTCCTGGGAAAGGTTAATCATGACAGGGAAAAGAAAGAGTTACTGAGAATCTGACCAGATTATGATAATTTTCCTGCTTTGGGTTTTTCGTATTTCAGATGAATATTTAATTTCCCTGGAAGTTGTACCACCGTGGTGCTTTCTTTAAAACACAACTGGCTCACTTCAGCAGGAAGTTTTTTACTTGCTTCTCTCTGCTTATCTTTTGATTCACAGATTCCTGAAAGGAGTGGAGGTAGATAATTATTAACTTTTTCTGCAATAGATCAGTGAACACATGAAATAAGAGCATGACTGGGTTTCACTGGGTCCACTCACTCCTGAGATGACAGTGTCTTTCCTCTGCCCGTTGTGAGGAGGCGAAGTGGGGACAGGAGGCTGATAACTGCCAATAGTCATTAAATAACTTAAGTATGATTAACTTTTCTCAGAAATATCTGGTTCTTCCCCCGAAAGCTTCCTGTACTGCTGGAGCACCAGAAACTGGTGCATGTATAAAATACAGAGAGCAGGTTAATCACTGCCTACAAATGAGCTGAGGCTGGAACTTTTGCCTTGCCATCCTGGATGGCCAGAAAATGTTCTTTCACCATGAGGGTTTGACCAGAGCAGGTGTGCTCAGCTTTGCCAACACTCCCAAAGCATTCCCAACTCCTGCTTTGCTCTCGTGCATCCCTCGGCTGTAGCAGCAGCCAGACCCTCAGAGCTGCCCTGGTCATTTGTGTGATCTGATTAATCACCCTCAGGGCTGTCTCTCCTCCAGGCAGATGTCCTGACACTGAACACTTCCACTGCCAGAGGTCTTTTTGGGTCCACCTGATGGGATTCACCGCTCCTGCAGCTGCTCTTACCTTGCTTATAATTAGTAGCTGGTGCTGAGGGAGATCCAGATAAACTGGGAGGGATCTACCTGTCCAAACTCACCCAACCTTCTGCCACAGCACGGCCTGAACTGTGCCCCAGGTGCCCACCCCAGGTGCCCACCCCAGGACACCTGAACTGGGGTTTGAAAACACCTGTTTCTTTCCCTTTGCTATCGAGGGAGCCTGAACAGCTCAACAGCTGCCAAGGGATGAATCACACCTCTTTGTCTGTGGAGGAAGATTGTAAATCTGGGGGGTTCTCACCCCCTGCCATGAACAGACCCCTTCATTCCTACATTCCCATGGAGCAATTCCCCTTTCCACCTGTTTCCAGGTCCTTCAGGACAAGGATGGCCTCAAACCAGCACCTCCCAGGCTGAGACATGGGGCTGGCATGGGGCTTTAGGGCCAGGCTGACTCATTTGCTCTGGTGGGGTTTTGGTGTATTTTTATAAATGAGGTTTCTAGTGCAACTGGTTGCAGGGACTTTTGAGAGGGGTTTTCTTTCCTTAATATTTTGAGGAACAAAACTTTAAAAACTTTAAGAAAATACCCACAGCAGTCAACTGCCAGGAGGTGTAAAAAATAGAAAAAGTAAAGAAAAACTGCCTGATAAACGGCAGAGCAAGATTCACGTTATGATAATTGTTTCTGCCCACTGCCCCAGACCACAAGACAAGTTGGGGAGATGCAAGTCCTGTCCAGTCTGACTGAAACCAGGGACACAAACGTGCTCAAACTGGTGCAGAGGGAGCAGGAGGCAGCAGGGCCTCTCTGGTTGTGCTTTTGCAAACCTGTAATCTGAGGTGGGGGCACAGAAGAGGGGCAGAAACAGCACAGACTTTCTTCATATTGAAAAGCCATTTGACATTTATGACACTTGAAACAGCAACTGAGAAGGGGGGGAAAAAAGAAACCCATGATGATCTTCAAAGGAATGATATGGGCTGAACTGTTTCAGGAGTTGGTTGAGTCACGTTCTCAGTCCTGTTTTTCTAGACTTTACAGGGTGATAAGAAAACAGAATAGAGCAAAGGAGCCCTCACCAGGGCTGGCTCTGGAGTTTGAAAACCAAGCCAAAGAGAGCTGATAGGGTCAGCTATATGGTTTAGGTGGGGGCTTTTCCTTCATGGAGTGAGGGTGGTTCTTCCTCTTTTCCAGCAGCCACAGGGGTAATTTCCTGGTGGGGCTGAGCTACTAGCACAGGTACTCATCACCCATCCCAGGCAGCCAGGAGCAGCTCCAGGAGTCCCAGGGAAACCTTTAGAAGGTGCAATGGAAGGCTAAAGGCTGCTATGGTGTTTGCAGAGTCAGGGACCCTGTGCCCCATCCCAGGCAGGAAGGGCAGCTACAGCCTGTGCTTGCTTAAACCCACCCAGCAGGTCTCAGTCCTTAGGGCTTTTCGTGTATTTCCTGTGTTATATGCAAAAGCCAGGGCAACAGTTTGAAGGGGAGACAACCACAGCAGACACAAAACCTCTTCCTGCAGTCTGGGACTGGTCAGAGTGAAAGCCACTGGCTGGACAGAACAGCCAGAAGTTCCACTCCGTGCTCAGTCCCTGCCTTGCACTCCTCCACTCCTGAGTCACCTGCACTAAGGAGAAGGTGAGGGGAGGATGAACACAACTGAGCACTCAGCTGCATGAGCATAATGGATGGAAATAAGGGGGGAAGGTGAGACAGAACTTGTAGAAGACCTCAGGGGAGGCGCTCACACAGGCCCGGGGATGAGCAGTATGAGTTTCACACGTGAGGAACTCTCACCCACACATCACCCTCACGTATTAAAAACCATCCCCACTCACAGATAACTCTATCTGTTATTAGTGAAGCTGTTGCATGTGACTTTGCATGGGGACTTGGTGTTATTATATAAATATATTTTAACTCCACAAACAGCCTGCAGTGGGTGCAGTTACCTGTAGTGGAAGTTCATCATCCTGGTCCAGTGAAACATGAGCAGGAGCCTGGCAGAGCAGGCTCCAAACTGAAACCCAGCAGAAACCAAGCAGAGCTGAGTCCAGCAGACACTAAGCACAGGAATCAGTGACATGCATGAACAGCCAGGCCATGAGGAGCAAGGCAGAGTTCCAGGATGAACAGGGAGCTGAAAGCCAAAGCTATCCCTTTGCCCAGAGCCCGCAGAGCAGAAACCCACAGTAACAGAGGGGATGCAGGGACCAGCCAGTGCCTGGAGGGACATCCTGGGCCAAGGCACCCCTCAGGGAGGGACACATCTCCTCACACCAGAGTGGAGCCCAGGGCTTTCCCTCTGCCATCTTCCAGCTGAGCAACTTTCAGTGGCAATTGCTTGAGGTAGATGCTGGTGTGAACTGTAAAACCAGCGAGGAGAAAGCTTTCCCTGGCCCCTGCCCTGCTAACCACAGCAGGAAGAGCTGCTTGGCTGAGATTGCTCTCTCCCCACCATCACACCTGCCTCTGAATTCAGTTTTTCCTCCCAGCTGTCAGCATCCTGTATTTTTACATCCCAAGGCAGCAGAAGCTAATTCTTGACATTTAGATACAAGCAATAAATTTCAGCCAGTTCCAGTTCTATCTGTCCCATGGGGAGCCGAGCTCTCCTCTCCGCAGCCCAGGCACCACACGGGCACAGCTGGGGCAGATTTATGGCCCTCACAGCTGGGTATTTTCACAAGGATTAAGCTGCACCCTCACTGCTCAGACACAAGGGAACAGGCTGCTGGCTGCCTGCAGGGAGAAGTATCGGATAAAATCAGAATGGGTGCTCTGTGCCTGAGTTAAGAGTTCTCAGCTCTCAGCCTTCACTGCACAGGGTCCTGGGCAACCTGGTCAAGTTGAAGACATCCCTGCTCACTGCAGGGGGGGTGGACTGAATGACCTTTAGAGGCCCCTTGCAACCCAAACTGTGATCTATGAAGCCAGAGGGGCCAGACTCCTGAGCAGTGCTCTGGCAGTAACACACACAACCCTGAGTTATTTTGCTGGCATCTTCCCCAGGTTTTGGTTTCCTCAGTGATGAGGGCTCTGCAGGGTTCACAGTGCCATGGACAACATGACCCTCTGCTTTTTCAAACAGAGAACCTTGTGGAAACCCCCACTCAGCCACTAACACAGCATCTCCTTCTTTCCTAGGCAAGCAGCTAAAGGTCACCCTTGTTTTCAGCCTGCCACTCATTTTTCAGGTAAGATGTTTTCAACAACGTTGTTGAAATCCAGCTGCTTTGAGTAGTGGGTAAAAGGAGATCTCAAAAACTCAGAGCAGCCACCCACAGTCCCAGAAATGTGTGGGGACACAGCTGCTCACCCCAGGATCCAGCTGTGGGAGGTGGGAGGTGAGAGCAGAGCCCAGCTACAGAAAAACAAACAAGAGAAACAAAACCAAGGAGAGAAAAACAGTGACAAACGCAGTGATTTTCAGGTGGCCTGGCTTGTAGGAGTCCCTTTTAGCCCCAAATGAGCATTTCCAGGGCAGACAGGAGTGCACCACATTGATTGCAGGGAGCAGCCGGTTCCTGCTCCCTGCAGATTCCTGGTCAAGGTGCTGGGCTCTGACCAAGCATAGAGCCAGAGAGAGATGTGCCCGAGGAGGAAGAGCTCAGCATTTCCCCTGCCTGTTCTTGCTCAGTTCCTGCCCAGCAGGGAGGACCCCAAGCACGGAGCTGTGCCATGACCTGCTCCCAAAGCCGGGGCCTGGTCCTGGTGCCTGCTGTCCCTCGGCAGCAGTGGCCACCCCCAGCCCGTGGGGCTCCTGGGGCTCAGCCCAGCCACCCGTGCTTTTCCCTTTCACTGCTGGCAGCCTGGCAGGATGTGGTGAAAGCCAAACCTGCTGAGATGGAGAGCACCAAGATGCTCTCCGATAAAGGGTGGGGGTATCCAGAGGAAACCTTTCATGTCTGTGAGATGGGGAGAAGGTTCTGGAGACTAATAAGTCACAAAAAGCAGGGCACAGATACCACAGGCCCTGTCTGCCCTGCAGGTTATGGCAGTGTAGGAAGATGAAACAAGTAATCAGAACTGAAATCAGGGGCCTGAATGAGATGCCGGCCCCACATCCGCGCCAACACGGAAACAGCTTCCTGCTGCACTCACTGCGCTTCCTCACACTCTCACCGACACCTTCACTGATTTTTAATTTAGCCGAAGGATGTTTTATTTCTCACATTTTATCTGACAGCTGGCTGTGCACACACAGCTGGAGGCAGGTCCTGGAACACTCTGGAAAGCTGCCACACATCTGGGGGTTTGCAGGTGTTACTTTGGCTGAGCACAAAACATGGAGCCCCCCAAAAAGCCCCAAACCTCATATATTTATGGGAAATGCTTTCAGCCACGAGGTTGTGTCAGCTCTGTTTGTGATGCTGGCATGAAACAGCACTTGGGAACTCCCTGGGACTTCTCTCCAGCCTCCTTTCCCAGCACGGCCACACAGGGAATGCAGTCCTTGTCCCAACACTCTTCTCTTTCCTGCTCTAGTTCTGTGCTGGGGACAATGTCACTGATGACTACGACTCCAACAGCACCATCGACTACAGCATGTTTGAGTCCCTGTGTGAGAAGAAGGAGGTCCGTAACTTCCGTGCTGCCTTCCTCCCGGCCATGTACAGCCTCATCTGCTTCATGGGGCTGCTGGGGAACGGCCTGGTCATGCTCACCTACATCTACTTCAAGAGGCTGAAAACCATGACAGATATCTACTTGCTGAACCTGGCTCTGGCAGACATCCTCTTCCTGCTGACCCTTCCCTTCTGGGCCACGAGCGCGGTCACACACTGGCTTTTTGGGAGCTTTGCCTGCAAAGCCGTCTACTGCATCTGCAAAATGAGTTTCTTCAGCGGGATGCTGCTTCTCCTGTCCATCAGCATCGACAGGTACTTCGCCATCGTCCAGGCTGCCTCGGCCCATCGCCTGCGTCCCCGGATGATATTCATCAGCAAGGTGACGTGCATCCTCATCTGGCTCCTGGCCTTCATCCTCTCCATCCCTGAGCTGGTTCACAGTGGTGTGAACTACTCGGAGAGCAATCCCCGTTGTTCCATCATTGCTAATGACTTGCAGACCTTCAACACTGGCATCAAAGTGTCCCAAATGGTGTTTGGCTTCTTAATTCCCCTCCTGGTCATGTCTTTCTGCTACCTCATCATCATCAAAACGTTGCTCCAGGCCCGCAACTTTGAGAAGAACAAAGCCATCAAGGTCATCATCGCCGTGGTCATCGTCTTCGTCGTCTTCCAGCTGCCCTACAACGGCGTCATGCTGGCCAAGACCATCTCAGCCTTCAACCAGACCAGCTCATGTGAGGAGAGCAAGAAGCTGGACGTGGCGGACGACGTGACCTACACCCTGGCCTGCTTCCGATGCTGCCTCAACCCGTTCCTCTACGCCTTCATCGGTGTCAAATTCCGCACCGACCTCTTCAAGCTGCTGAAGGAGCTGGGCTGCCTGAGCCAGGAGCGCCTCTGGCAGCTCACCTCCTGCCGCGACAACAAGAGGTCCTCCTTCGCCATGGAGACAGAGACAACCACCACCTTCTCCCCGTGAGCTCTTGGTCGAGCTGAAATGGCTTTAGACATTTTCTCTAGTCTGAACTCCTGGCAGAACAAGACCTGCCACACTGCAGAGAAGCCGAGGGGAAAATCCAGAAGCCTCCCCCTGTTTCAAGCAGTGAGGACTGCTGGCCAATATCCCACGGGTGAACAGGCTTTACAACGGAGTTGTCACTAACAGCAAAGCAAGGGAGAGGTGGTGAGTCTACAATTTCTCCTGTCATTTCACCTTCAGCTTAGAACTTTCCCTGTCAAAATGAGATATGCTCAAAATAGAACATTTACCCTAAAAGCGACAAGCACCAAGAGAAAACAGACGCTGGTGCAGCAGGACTGTCGTTTGGAGCTGAGCTGCCAGGAGCATCACCCTTGCTTTGGATGTTGCTTTTAACAAGACAACGGCTCTGCAATCCCATGGAAATGCCCTTGCACTGAGCCAGTCCGAGGACAGCCCTCACCCGCAGCCTCAGGCTCCATCCAACCCACAAGCCCAGCAGTGGAGTATCTGAGCACACAACTGCTCTGCCTTCCCCCATGAAAAGTGAGAGATGACCACAGCTAATGCTAAATCCATACAAACCCTAGACATAATTTCAATTATTTTGTATAATATTGTAGCCACTCGTAGCTCTGTCAGGAAAAGTACAAATTCCACTTCTGCCTGTATGCTGTTTCTGGGCTATCACCTGCTGACCTTGAGATAAAAATGAATGTGGGTTTTCTCCTCCCTTCCCCATCCTTCTACAGGACTTCAGCTGCCTTTGAAGTCAGATCTGTATTTCACTCATAAGCTACTGGGGCGTGTTTTGCATCGGTGCTGTCGGCACCAACAAAGACACGGCTGACTGAGGTTTGATCTGAACGCAGTCCCACCACTGCCAGGGCCACGGCAGCTGAACAGAGATTACTGTTGTGCAAAGTCAGACCTCGGAGGAGCCCAGACTGTAATTCCAGTTGGCGCTTTTACAGGAAGAGCGAAGATTCCTGATGACAGATGAACGCTCTGGGAAGCGCTGTCGCTGTCGTGGGACAGGGGAACGTCTGTGCAGCTGTCCCTGTCCTTGTCCTGCGTGCTCTGGTCCCACAGCACCCACCTCTCCCAGGGCCATCACCAGTGGAGAGAGGGCTCAGCCTGGAGCTGCTCCCAGGGCTGACAGGGGACACATGTCCATGTTCCCTTGAACACACAGAGCCATGAGCAGCAAAACACTCACTAAACAGACATTTATCCTTTTCTTTTAACACACGGATCCATCAGGAGTGACACAGAGAACTCCCTGGTTCACGGGTTTGGAGAGGATTGCTTTAGAGAACTGAGAATTAAAATCAGCCTTCCAAGGCAGAATTCACTGGCTCGGTCTGAGACAGCACTGCCAGTTATTTACCTGGCTGCCACCAAATCTAAACAAACTCTCCATAAACCTCTGGTGTGTGGCATTTTTGCCAAGGGCTGGGATTCAGGAAGAGAGGACATTCTGCTCCGTGTTGCCTATCTGTGCTCAAGAGTTGAACTCATTTTCATTTACAATGCCCAGGTAACTGTACAGAAATGCTGCTTCTCTGTCACATGAAACGGAGTTCATGACAACTGACACTGAACAGCTATTTACCCTTGGTTTCCTTCTCATCCTTATTTGGGCAAGACCCAGCTATCATGATCTTGGCCAGAGCCAGGGACACCCCCAGCATGGGGTATTTGCAGTTTTCCTCATCAGTAACAATACATTGTTAATGTATATTCAATATGTAAAGCTGCTTTACACAGACAAAGTTCAATCTGTTCATGAATGTACCCTGAGAACACTCTGCTTCCATGGAACCTTTTTATGCAGAATCCATTCACCTAATTCCAGCCAGGAAACTGCTCCACCAGCACCTGGAGCTGTACTTGTGTCCTGTAGATAAAAACCATTCCCCTCCTGCAAATGAAGAGGTCTCCAGGTCCTTACAGACCAGATGGATTCCAAACAGGATAACACACATCTGCTTCCATAAATGAGATGCAGAGGCGCCCTCTGGGACAGCTGCAGCTGGTGCCTCAGAGAGGCAGTGGTGATGTCAGAGTGCCTGGCTTTCCCTGGTTAAATTTAACGGACAGAACAAATTTGCATCTAATTTAGATGAGTCATGTTAATGCTGGCCTAAGATCCCAACCTGAGGTTCCCCACTGATGTCTGAAAACTGACTGTATTTTGCTACTTGAGAAAAATAAATTATAATGGTTTAAACAAATTACTTCTGGATTTCCATTGCATTTTCTCCATCCTTGTACAGTCCTTGTCAATCCTTCTGTCCTGTCAGGAGCTGTTTGATCAGCTCAGCTTCATCCCAGTGCTGCCCTGCAGGACAGAGCGTGTGGAAAATAAACTAAATAGAAAAATGTTGGTTTACTTCATCTGCTGATGGACTATAAAAGAAACAAGTCAGCAGCACATGAAGTTTTTCTTTTAACTGTGAACCCACCTGCCTTGATGCTGCTCCACAGCTGGGTGCACCTAATGGCTACTCATCAACCTTTAAATGAAAATTCTTTGAGCTGTAGGACTTTATTGTTCATGTTTAATTAAAATTCAGTAATAAACCACCACGTTACTGTGGGAATTGCTCCCAGGGAGAGGCAGCAGGTCTGGGTCCCCATCCTCATCCAGGGGGAGAGTAGGAACTGCAACTAAAACAATGAACACAATGCTCCTGCCTGACCTCCCCAGTCAATTCGTGCCTCAAAGCACTCAGGGGAGTGAGGGGGGACCCATATCCTTCACCAAAAGTGCCTTGTAATTGTAACCACGGAATCAAAGAGGAAGAAACTCAAAGAACACGAGGAGACAGAAGCCTGACCCCCCCCCGTGCCAGGGCTAAGGCCCATTTCTGCTTTCGCTGAGAGACGAAAGCCTCACGTTTTCTCCCGGAAGAGAAAGGACAGGGCAAGTTTCAGCACCTGGCACAGAGACTCCAGAAGCGTCTCCAGACTGCAGCACAACACAAGATGCAGAACCCCAAACCCTGGGATCCTTAAATAAACACCTGCTCTCACCACGGTGAGGTACTCAACTGCCCCAAGGCTCGTTTGTGCACAAGGTGCAGTCAGCTGGGCAGGGCTTGGAGCAAGAGCTGGGGATCTGCAGAGAGCCACAGCACTTGTAGCCATTCCTCCTGAAACTCTTATTATCTTATTCCTCCTGAAACTCCTGAAATCCAGGAACTTTCTTGATTAAGAAAACAGACTCCACCTTAAAGCCCTAACTTAACCAGTAAAACCACCAAGCAACCCCTAAAAATCACAGCTTGGGCAACAAATATTGCAGCCAAGTCACACAGAACTTGCTACAAAAAAAAACAACGTGCGTTTCTCAGATGGATTTAACCTATTTTAGTAGCTTTCACCAGAAAAAGCTGCTTATTTCCTTTCACAGTTCCAAATCTTCTTTAAAAAGCCAATAAAAAGCCTGGACCTCATTAGAGAATGGGGACACAGGTTTGCCTTTCACTGCATAAAGGCAGGGGAGGGAGTGACTGGCCAGTCCCAGCTGTGTGGAGTCTGGGGGGTTCCTGCAATCCTTATTCCAGGTTATTGTGGGGAATCCTGCATCACTCAGAAGCCCTGGACTTTTCACTGCTCTGGATAAGTATCACTGCTCATCATTTTTCCTTCCCTGACAGTTCTTTGTCTCTGTGCACGTGTATTTTTAAGTTATGGTTTGAAAGCCCTCGGTGCCAAATGGATCTGGGCTGGGTGGGAGCCAAACTGGAAAGAGGAACAAGAGAGCTGGCACTGGGGGAGCTGGCAGCTGCTCCCAGCGATCTCAGAGCGTGGCACTGGTGTGTCACCTCCCTCTCTGTGCTATCCCAGGCACTGCCCCCCGTCACTTGATGGGAAGGGGAAAGTTCTCCAGGCAGGGCTGTGGTTTCTCATGTGCCACCTGGGCAGCTGCGGGAGGAAAGTCCTTGTCACCCCAAGAAAGAATGAGCTGGAACCGAGTGAGGTAAACAAACCCTAAAAATAATGCCCGTGGGTGGTGGGGAAGGGTGGGGGCACACTGCATCAGTCAGAGTAGCTGAGAGCAGCCCATGGCTTCCTCCTCACGGCTTCTTTTGTAAGGAAAAAAAAACCCCAAACTCCTGTTCTGGGGGTGGAGGTGTCACATCTCAGGGGAGAACTTCTTGTACCACCAACTGTCCTTGTTGGCAAAGCTGCCTTGCTTGGGGCCATGGTGGGGTTCCATCCATCCTGGGCCACGGTGAGAGGCACCTGGGGAAACTGAGGCAGCTGAGATGCCACCTGCCCTTTGTGTCATCACAGGCAGCTTCATGACCTCAAAGCAAGTGAATCAAAGAGTCTGACCAGGACTGTTTCCAGTCTGTAACCCACTGTTTATGGATTAGATATCCATATGGATTTTATATTTCCATAATCCATATGCTTATGGATTAGAATCCACTGTTCCATTTGTAATCCACTGTTTATGGATTAGAAGGTGGAGGATCAGCTCAGAGCCAACAGTTGGCACCAAGCAGGGGACAGGAACATGCAGTAGAGATATAAGGGAAAATAACCAGATTACAGTGTGCTGCTGCATTCAATGACAGCAGCACAATCCACTGCTGACCACCTCAGAGCCCGGAGTGGGAGCCGTGTCCCCAGCCCTTCTCCTCAGCCCAGCCCGTCCTGCTCCTTCCCCAAGCACTAAAACCAGGCAGAACATCCCTGCCTCTGTGCTCATCCCACGTGTGGGAGCCCTCACAGCTTCAGAAATGAAGAGTTTCACACATTCAGATTTAGCAGAAATCTGCAGTTTTCAAGCCAGGCTGTGGCAGCCACAAGCCTGCCCAAAATGAGAGTTGCTTTTTCACTTTCACTAAGACCCCAGTTCTGCAGAGCTGAGTATTGATATTAAACCAGCAGAGAGTCAAGTGTTGATATTCTACCATCACCTGCCACTGCCCCAGCTTGTTGTAGAAACTTTATTCAGGTCTGAACAGATAAGGAGCCTTCTGGCTCCACATGCAGAGCCAGCCCAGGCATTTGCCACTGCTGAGCCCCTGCAGCTCCTCATGTGCAGGAACTGAAACTTCCCTTCCTGCTGCTTTGTTTTTAATTCAATTGTCTAAAAAAAAAAATAAATAACAAGAGAGCTACTTTCCTTTCTGTGCTTGCTGGCACAAAAATTATTGTCAAGCAGTCAGGGACTTTACTGGGAAATTTCCATGACTGAAGGACAACACTAATACTCAGAATCATCCTGCAGGAGAGGAAAAGGCCAGATGATTTCCAGTTAAACAGACAAAAAGGCCTTCCAGGATTTGGAATCTGTGCATGCTGCTCTGTACCAAAATCAGAATTTCTCTCACCAGTTCCAGTTCCTAGATCCTGCAGGTTTTACCCGCAGCTTTGTCTTCTCATCAGGGAACATCCCACCTCCACACGAAGCTCAGTGAGCACACACAGGTGTCCTGGTTTCACTCTGGGGCAATCACAGCAGAATCCAACCCCACTGGGGCAAAACCCAGCTGTTGGGGCTGCACAGAGAGAAACTCGTGTTTTCAGGGCAGAGTTGACTGATTCCCTGGGAGATAACATGCTGCTTCTAAGTTCTGGCCACACCACGCAGCGAGAAAGAGCTTCAGCCCCTGTGCCAGGGCGGGGAGTGGGAGAGGGAAAAAACAAAGCCCTTTATGGATGACTAACCCAGGCTCAGCTCCTCCACTGTTGCATGAGCCCCTTTGAAGAGTTCCACACTTTTGCAGGTGGGTCCTGGTTCTGCCTCGCCAGGGGGTCACAGGTAGGGAGGAGGCTCCTGCTCAAACATCCCCCACTGACACACACGTGGCTTCCAGCAGGCTTTGGAGGGTTGCAGCAGACCTGGAAAGGCACCAGATCCCTACAAGACTCATCCAGCTGTGTTGCCAGCAGCTCCTGGCAGGCCCCCACCACCCTCCCCACGCGAGCCGCCCTCACGTGCCAGCGCTGCCTGCGCAGCCCAAACAGCTGCAGGCGTGAGGCTGTTCTGGAGCTGCAGAGAACAGCCAACAGAAAAGGTCTCCCCAACACCACAAACAAGCCCTGAAAAGCTGCCAGAGCCTCCTGCCTCCACTGGGCAGCCTGTTCCAGGCACTGCCCAGGCTGCACCGCACCAGAGAAGGTCATCATGGAATCACAGAACGGTTTGGGCTGGAGGGAGCTCAGGGTGGGGAGCAGCCCCACAGCTGTGCCACAGATCCTGTCCCAGCTGCCCCAGGGCACAGAGGTGATGCTCTACTGAGACAGCAGCTCTGCAGAAAAGCTGCTCTTCCCAGGGGACTTGTGGTGCATGTTCCACCCCCACCAAGGACCTGCTCCTGAGCTCCAGCAGGGAAATGAGCCCCCTTTACAATCACCTGTGCAGAAAGAGCCTTCCCTCGCTGGGCATTTCCTCCTGCAGCCGTGGAGGAGGTCATGGCACACGGCCTGAAACACACCGTGACACAGAGCTCCAGTGACCCAGACACAAACACTTCCTTCTCTTCCCTGACATCTGAAACAAAAAGAAATTGAGATTATTAGGAAAAGCCCAGAACAGAAAGAACTTCTGAAAGCACTGGTGACCTCCCCAGGGTCTGAGTGACAGCCTCAGGAATGACAGACAGGCTCTGAGTGACCCACAGCACATCCAGCACGGGTCTGTGGCCACCAGCCCCCTTTGGCTGCAGCCCTGGGAACCAGAGATGGAACGCTGGGATAGGGGAGAGCAGGGACAAGGTCTCCTCCATGTCCTTCCCTCACAGCCACCCTCCTCTGCTCTTGCCTTGGGTCATGAGTTCCCTGCTCCTGGGAGAGGGCTCCCAGCCAAACCTCTGAAATCCCCACAGGACCAACCACAGCGCTCCCCTTGAGAGCTGCTGACACCATGTGGGAACGGCTGGGAAGTGATCCACACACACCTCCTGCCGTCCAAGCCAGGATTCCTGGAAAAACTCGGGAAAACTTACCCTGAAGTAAAGGTGTGGGTTCAGATCGTATCAGTGATATCATCTGGAATCCCTCTGTCGGCAACCAGGCTAAGAAGTGGAGTTGCTCTACTTTGGTTTCATTTAAATCTATTGGAAGTGATTTTAAATGGCTTTGATTCACCTGACTTTTCCCTCTGGATCAGCCCACACCTCTTCCATGTGACTTCAACAATCCATTCTCAGTGCTAAATCCCATCCTGTTTCCTCCATCTTCCCATGAAATGACATCTCCCACAGATCACCTTCCGCTGGCTTTGTACCCAAACTTCCTAGACAACTCTGAAAAACCTAAATGGCCTTTTCCAGCCACCTCCCA